GACCAGGACAGAACACACTCTCTGCCAAACACAATTCTGTGTACAATAACACAAATCGAACTTTGCTATATCACACATATAATCCTTATCCATTGATCTACATGTTTTCATGCATGTGATAATCTCCACCTCTAGCAATTTAAACATGAATCAATGACAGACGTCGTACAAAGTTTCTGAAGTTTCTACAACATTAATGGACATTACATGTTTGTAAATATAGATCGTCCAGGTTGGTATAGTTCTGAGAAGGACTGTTTTTGTTGTTTGTTCTAAGTTCTAGGTAACAAACCTCCCTGAACAGATCACAGCAATTATCGGCACCTTACAAACGACTTATTCACAATACAAACAAACGGTCGACTAACAACATTACACTTCACACTAATTCACAATGACAATACACAATTGACACCAACACATTACAACTAAAAACATCACACCTAAATCACACATGACAACTAAAAATAAAAATATTTCACTTCACACTAATTCACAATGACAATACACATTTCCTGTACACACAATACAATGACGTAAGAACCAGATAACAAATACGGATAACCTGACGTTTACTCCTCATTTGACTCTGAAGATGACTACCGCTAAGGTTGTCGAAACGTCAGGCAACAACAACAAAACTATACCAACCTGGACGATCTACATTTACAAACACGTAACGGTACTCCCGGGTTCAAACCATTTACTTTATTAATGGACATTGATGACGATGAATGTTATAGAAAGTTCTCACCGCTGAAGAAATGTAAATCCATTGCATTGCCTTTCTGATCTTGTCATTTAAACAAGGCCTGTCCTCAAGATTCCAATGTGTGAATTCAGAAAATCTTTTTATAGCTCGAAAAGATCTATCCTAAAAATTAAGTTTTGTAATAGTTTCAATATTAGCTAAAAGCAATAAAATTATAAGATACACCAAACACACATTGTGTGAAACTTATAAAAAAATTATAATTATATTAATGAAATGTTTTGACAAAATATATTGTTCACTAAAATCGAAGGCTCACCTGGTTATCAGTGACAGGTTTACGATTCTCCCTGAGAAGATAGCCTGAAATAAAAAACTTACACAGATTCATTTCATTCCTGTGAACCAAAAAGGATAACAGATCTTGAAAAGGTTACTACTAAGTAAAAGTCATTGGCAAAATTGTAAAAGTCAAGACAACAAGAAGATCGATAATTGGAGAGCAATATTTATATAAGCATGTTATATTCGTTTTAAAACAATGGATTTCAAAAGAGCTTAACACTTCCTATCATGAATATATGAATATTCCTCCTCCCAATCATTGATCTTCCTAGGCCCTTGGTAAGAATACTTATCTTGTCTACTTAGTAAGTGTACTAAGTTCATGGCATCAATATTAATTGAAAACCATATAATCTGTGAAGGGCTGATTTCTCTAGAAAGTGAAATTGTTTTGAAAAAATTTACCCAGGAATAGCAGAATATAAGAATGTGGTCCCCCTCGTTAAAATGGGATTGATGCCAATGACTAAGTTCATCAACTACATACATGTAAAAGTAACATGGTCACCAAATCTACAAAGTTGACTACCTAAAGAAGACCTGGTGGATACTAAGTAAACAACTTTGACTATATTAGGGGCATGATTAACCTCTGAAATTGTGAAACCAAAGCAAAACTAAATTGCAGTGCCCTATGATATCATGATTTTATATATCTGCAACTGCAAGCAATGTAAGAAAGTTTAATTTACAAACTTATAGCTCTTTAAAGTTGGGTTGAGTTTTTGAAGACCCAAATCAAAAGGCATCTGCTAACTTTTAAAAAATGCACTTAACTGCTTGTACTTTCCCATGCAAACCCAAGTGTGTGCTAGAGAGCCATGTTCTCAAATAAGGGCTTCTTTTGATACATACATAATGCTGAAAAATGAAGCTTTTCACTGGTGATTATTTGTAAGCATTTAATGTCATTGATATGCTATTGAGTCAACATATGTACAAAAGGTCACCTCCTGTGATTTTTTGACAAGCGCTGAACACTTTTGTCATATTGCCACATTTGTTCTTTATCAAAAAACTTTGAAGAGCAGCATTAACATAGCATGACCAAATTTATAGGCTGCCTAACTTAGTGACCTCAAAATCACTTGAGATGGCCTCTTCCTACGGATATGCTGTGCCTCAACATTGGGAGCCACAGAGACTAGGTACACAGGCCACTTGATGAGTAACATACATAAAGATCATAAATGTTTATGTGTTTATATGGTACGGTAATATGCAGCTGTTCCAAAAGGTACAATGAGTGAAGTTATTTTTTTCACATACACAACAAAGCAAAAAATAATAAAAAGGTACCAAGCATGTTAATATAGTACCAAAGCAAATAATAAAGGTACTAAGTATGTCAATACAGTTTAATCAACATTATCTTACCACTGTATCCATCTGGTATAGCAACTTTCTCACCCATTAACATGCGGCCACGAAATGAAACTTTAAGTAAAAATTAAAGGAAGTTAAGCTGGAATGGTTAGGCTAAGCAACACTACACACAGACTCATATTACAGGGAGGTGAATCCTGGGGAGTGGTTTGAGAAGATTTTAAGTGAACAGCTTTTTTACTAAAAACATATTCACTCAATTTGTCTGGAAAGTGTTTTCAGGATAGTTGACTTTTTAGAAAATTCAAATGCATCCTACATACTTCATCCCAGCAACTACTTCATACCAAAAGTTACACAATTGGTAGGTACAAAATACTTAATCCTAACACGGTTTTATATACACATGAAAAACATGTGACTTGGACAAGATTTGAAATCGCACCTTTGGATATTAGTCCGACGCTCTACATGTTGAGCTACCTTGCCCACAGGGTTTGGAGACAAGTCAAATTTCTTTTAAACTGCATATGGATAAGAGATTCTGCCAAAATAGCAGTTTTCCTGGATGGCACAATGTTTTGACTTTATGTATATTCTCTAATGATGGCCTTGGAATTACTGTGGGCTTGATAGCTCAACAGGTAGAGCAGCCGACTAGTATCCTGAAGGGGCAAGTTCCAATTTCCTCCAGTCACATGTGCATATAAAACTGTGTTAGGATCAATATTATGTATATTCTCTAATGATGGCTTTGGTAGGTACAACAATTCAGAAAAGGACATTCAAATTCTAAAGTAACTATGTGGTTACATCTAGCACACCTATGTATCACACATATGGATTGTCTACAGAAAAATTGATTAGGAAGGTATGAATGAACATGCAACTTTACTACTAAAGAAGGGGAACTGAACTATGGATGATTTTGTTGGGAGGAGGCCCTAGTTTTTGTGAGATGTCGTTTGGTCTAACCAGTCAAGTTTGGATGTAGATTTTGGTGGCTCCTTTGTGCGTCTCGCTGTCCCTTCAAATGTCAGAGTTTAGGTGGGTTTGTATAAACTCCCGAGAAATGTGTAGTTTGACAGTTGTTTCAGCTCAATTGGTTGGTATCAGGGAAATTTGCACTCCCCTGCCCCCCTTCAAATCAAGGCTAGTCTAGTGGGAGGGTTGGGGAAGTTATTTCACTCACACTACCCACCCGCTCAAGAAAGTCAACATTCCGCTAGCTGAAGTTTTCAAAATAAAATATTTAATGCAAATCATCAAACCTTTCTTCATTCCCTTTCCATCATCCTTAATACAACTTTGAAAATATTCGTCGACTTCAGCTTCGCCATTGTGCTCTATTTTGCACGGTAAAAGATGCACAGTTGGTTTTCTGTAGCATCCTTAGTGCAAGAGGTTAAAATGTCTATCTTTGACATAAATCACGATTTATTGACGCTGAGCAAAAAGTAATTTTTTACAAATTAAACAACGAAAACACGACTTGCGACTGTGTGCGACTGAATATAGGGAATATAGGCAAGTAGCTTGCCGCAAGTTGTCATCCGTCAACAGGCGATTGAAATGCCGCGATATCCGTTTTCTCATTGGTCATGTATCAAGTGAAGTTTAGAGTCTAGAGGACACCAGTTGCTGACATAGAACAGAATAGACATCTAACAGAAGGTCCACTCGGCTAAAATCGAGGCATATTTTTTCACTACGCACGCAACAAGATACTTTCACAAAATCAATATGGAATAGTATTGCACCAGAATGCTATTTTACTCATGGTTCACGTTTAAAGCAAACGTATAACGAAATTTTACAAATAATTATCATATTGCAAAGAAGATAAGTTTGCAAGCTTTGTTGTGCACAATGATAATTTTCGTAAAACATCTATATTTTCTATTGCGATCTAGTGGAAGTATCTTGCTGGAAGGCGTGTCTGCTAAGAATTTGGTTCAGAATAGCGGGGCACATAAACATCAGAGGTTCCAACACGAGTGGACATTCTGTTCAGATATCTATTCTGTGCCCATTGCTTGGATTTAATTAAAATTTAGAAGGCCTGGACATAACCCTAACCATTATTCACATAATACCCATAAAGCTTTCTTCTATAACGTTGCTTTTGCTTTTACACTCGAGACTCGAGAGTGGAAATGGCGTTTGCAGTGTTGTTGTTGATTTGCATTTCCCCGCCATTACTGCTATATGTGCCCACAATCTAACGTTTAACGTAAAATGGCTACTGGTCTGCTACTGGTGCAGGCTAAACTGCATTCTACTTATATCAGTCATGAAATAAAGAAATGTCAATTTTCTCTGAGCAATCTCTTGCATTTCTCGAACTTTTGATTGAAGTGGCGATTAAAAAATGCAATGCAAGAATAAAACAAAATCGTTCGAAATTGCAACAAAATGCACTGATATACGCTGCCTAGCATTGGCTATAAGCTATGACGAGAGAGTGTTGGCTGAATTTAAAATCGGCTTGACAGTCAGTAAATATAACACTTCATAAACAGCATTTTATAAACACAGGCGCTGATTGGTTGTCACATCTGAAAGTTGCATGTTTGCGCGGGAAATGTAATTAAAATCAATAAACTTCGCCAACGAATTTCTCGTTTTCTCAAACTTGCCGAGTGTTTCGATAACTCTTAAATACCTTTCTCGTAATTTTGTAAGTATAGTGCTAATGTTTCGTTCATGCTTTTCTTAAACCCCACGCAAAATCTGCTTCAGTTGTCGGGGTCGGCCTATCTATCTGTCAATAGAAAGTATAAAATTACCCCTTTGAGACACCTTGAGTCTACACAATGTAAAAAAAACTTTCTGGAGTGGTATGATTAGCTATATAAAACTAAATGTTAGGTAATTTCAATTCAAAATTACTTGCAAGCCTGTAAGTTTGAAGGCAAAGAATTCATTCGTTCGGTTAAGTAGCTACTCCAGTCAAATATTTAGTCGGGCATTTTCTAGCAGAACAGTATTTCACTAAATATCAAGTTGATGTCTGCGTTGGTGAATGGACATTTTAAGAATTCACAAGAATGGGAGAGTCTTTTGATTTAACAGCTTGCTTCTGTTTTCTTTTTTTCTTCCATTGGTATACAAAGGTTCTCTCAACATTTGCCATTATTCCACGAATATTTTTAAGATCTTTTTGCTCAACCTATAACGATAAACTCCCTTTGGAAAAACACCAAAATTCGCTACGTTTGCAGATACTTTGCAAAACAGTAATTTCGACATGTACAATCTTTAATTTTACAGCCTTTTTTCCCAATCGAAACGTGACATGAAACATACCGTCATATGATCAAAAGCGAAGCTCACGTTATGAGGCAGTCTTGAAGATTTACAGGGAAAAATATGTCGATTGCTGATGTGTGTTAAAATCGTGTACTCGGCTTTCATCAGTTCACTACATTTGATTGCTTCAGATACGGTACTACATAAGAGAGACACAAAGGTTTACAAACAGGAGTATGGACAATGAAATAGCAAGTTGAATATAAAAAGAGCAAGACATAGTTTGCCTCACTTATATTACCAATGAGCAGTTTCTTTCGCTCTGTAAAGCAGTTTATCATCGAATGTTGCCTCGTGAATGAGTAATGTCGTATTTGCACCTATAGCAACAAAAAAGTAAATATTTCTTCCAATGATTGTGGCGAAAAGACTTGTCTTCGGAAATTAATCTAGAGTTAACCAGTAGAATTTCCAGATATTCAGAGGACGGATAACGTGAAAGGAAACTGCCAACGCGAGTCCTTTATGATATATTTAACGAAAGACACATTGAAATTCGCGTTCGCAAAAAAATAAAATGTTATATAATTGAAAATAGGATAAATTTTTTTGAGATTAGCAAAAAAGCTCAGTCTTTGCGAAAAGATTTCGCTATTCACGATGGCTCTTGCCGAATGCCCAAACAAGGGGTGAAACAGGTTGCCTTCATTTCCTGGACAGGGGAGACGGACATAGAACAGATTTCATTTTTATTGTTGCTCAAAAAAAGCATCTTCCAGTCGTAAGTAGCAAAACATATTTTGCTGCATCTAAACCTGTTATTAACTAAACGACTGCTCTTTATAAAACAAGCAACAACTTAATGAGATTGGGCAATATTTCGATAAGGCCATATCACCACAATAAAATTTTTCCTTTCGTTACTCGTGAAAAAAAATGATGCAGTAGAGAAATAGCGAAATAAAAAGAGAATGGATTTGTCGGTTTCTCCTAACCGGCATCAATTAACTGTTTACAAGGTCTTGTGTCAGCAGAATAAACGATTTTCCATCCATTGCGTTCAAGTACCAAACCATGAGAGTAATCACTATGTTTCGTAGGGACAACAGAAATCTGAAAAAAATAGTTAACTCGAATTCTGTATTGTGTGGTACGCCAAAGTCAATCAAACCTCGAGTACTTTTTATCGAATATTCAAATATACATGGTGTTTAGAAATTTATCAACTTACAGAAGAAAATCCCAAAGAGCGACTAAATTGTTTGCCTTCTTTCTTCCCCAATCCTCTTTTCACCCACCAAAACTGAGTGAACCTAAAAAACAAATATTGTGAGCGACTAAACAACAAGGTTGCTATAAGTTAGTCATTTTAGAACACATGCACAAAAATACACGAATTTCGTTAAGAAATTTCGCTAATAGAACAAGGCCCAAACAAACTACTAATAAAATACTATGAGATATTTCTCCACTGTGACTGGTTGATTGCAATGCAGTTTATCTGTAATTGCTCAGTAGAAAAGTATAGTTGCACCATAAATACTGTAACCTGATTGGCTGAAAAACAGTGAAAGCCAAACAAATTTTTTTTCAATTCAAAAAAATACATGGCGGTAGTTGTAAATAACCAAAGATTTCCACAATTGCAATCGTTTGAAATTCAAGAATTACAAAAGAATGCAAAGAATAAAAACAAAGGAGCAAGTACGGTTTTTGGGGGAATGTTTTTAACAGTTAGACCGCATAACGAAGCTTATCTGAAGCTATAGAGAGTAACGAAACAAGATAGAGTTGGACGGTACAGGCAAACTATAACTCAAAGTAAACTGTTTTTAATCGTTCTTTGAACTCACGCTATTGGGCAGCAGTCTTTGAAATACTCACCCGTGCATGTTTATACGTAATTGCACTTGAAACTATACTATTACCTACACAAATCAATGCCATAGCTAGCCTCGATAATAGAGGAGGAGGTAATTCATATATGCATGTTAACATCCGCAGAAAAAAAATTCATTTACAGGAAAATTGGTCCACAATTATCGAGGTGGCTATGGAACTGATAAAAAGTCAAATGTCATTAGTGCTAACTTATAAAAAGAAATGAAAAAAAAACCCAAAAAAACACAGAAAGATAGAATTTTCACCTGAAGTTGAAAGTTTCACCACACAGCATTTCGAAATATCTTAAGTATAAATCCAAAGTTTCTGGACCAATAATTCTTACGAAACTTGAATCACCCTAGATATGACACAATTTACCTTCTAAAGTACCGGAAAATTTCAACCGTTACAACACACAGGTAATTTTGCAATTATTATAACAGCAAAGTTTGGCATAAAATTATTGCAAAATAAAAAGAAGACATGCAAAGCTGTAAAGTCATTCCTACAAGCTCACCATAATCTTCTTACGATGTCGTAAAATATTGAGAAGACCCTAAAAATTGATAATTTATGATAAATATTCATGGTTTAACATGCATAAATGATTAAAGATATTGATTGCGTCAGTAATGAACATATATTATAACAGGTTAGAGATTGGAGCTCAGCCAAAATACCTAAAACACATTTGATTTGTAAGATTTGATTCTTTCAAAACTGACAATTAACAGAGTTTATATGGCATTTAGATGTAAAATTACGCTATCAACAATAAACTTATTTGGACCGTGGACTAACCATAGACTGGTTTTAAACAATTAAGATGGTTTGTCTAAAATCGGTTTCGATTGAAGAAAATGAATTTTACAGGTTTCGTTTTACGTATGTTAGGTGAAAAAGATTGAGCCAACGTGTTATGTGGAGTATTGTAAAACTAATAGCAGCAATAATATAAAAGTACGAACCTACCAAATGATGGTCAATATGCATATGGGAGACGAACACGGTACGGATTCGCTTTAGCATCGTGTTCACATCGTCTCCGTAATGATAAAACATCTGTCTCAACGTCCCTTCGCCACAGTCCATTAAAATGGACGTTTCATCACTGTGTAATAACGAAACAGTGATGCCAAAGTTGCATAAACAAAATTCTCAGTAAAGTAAAGGAACAGCGAAACGTGGAAGAGTTCACAGCTCACTCGTCCTGTTTACATATGTACAGTCTATGTTATAGCCAGCGTACAAATTTGGTCGTGGTATGTAAAATTTAGATTACATCATTTTCTTAGTAAGAAACACATATAACTTTACATAGCATAACAAAATTTCCGATCTGGCTACGTCAATGTTCACAATACAGTACCAGACACCATGAAAATCTAGCAATCCAACAAAATATTTCAGTACAATAGGCTCACTATTCCATGTTGCAAGTATGAAATCCTTTCTCAATTGCAACCATTCTTTTTCGATGCATTTGCAACGACATATCGTAGCTCTTACTATCACCTAAAGTGGTCCTCTATGTTTTATGTCCATCGCATGTTATTTATATAAAGCTAAGATTGTTTAAAGTAAACTTGTTTACTGAGTTAAGGTTTTCCCTTACCTCAAATTCAACAAAATCGCGCTAGTATTGCGAAGATTTGATGAAATACGGGAACCAGTTCCAAGGAAAACAACCTGAAAATCGTTGCTCAACGTAGAGCTTGCGAACACATTTGAACGACTTCCATTTGCGACAGTACTTTTTCATTTACAGCTTTACAGCCACCAAGTTTTGTTCAAAGCCTTCAAAGGCTATTGGCCGAAAATTATACCTCAAAGTCGGAGCAGCAAAATGGACAGAACCCTCAGGAAAATCTTTAAAACCAGAATGAATTTTATCCATAAACAATGAATAGTACAGCGGCGGGAAAATGTTCACGTGAAGTTTATTTAACCTATCATAAACTTCATCAAAGACGGTGAAAGCTGGTCTTTCAACCACGTGATCATTCATCATAAGATGTTTCGTTTCTGGGTGAAACGTTGTCATCCAAGATTTGTATTCCATGGAATTTGCTATATCTTTTCCGGTCATGTGAATTACTATGTCCACGTGAGTGTGCAAATCACTTGAGAAGAAATCACGTGAGATGAAAGAAGATAATTTGTTGAGGACTTGTTTTGATGGACAATCTATGACAACAAATGATTGTCGATTGATCTAAATAGAACACAAAAAACCCTTTAGCACAAAAATTAAATACGTCAATTTAGTTACTATAAATTATTTTTGCAAGAGTTTATACTTGTATATTCAAACAATTTTAATCAACCTGCGGCATTATTGTCTAAAAGCACATAACTTCTTTAAAGTTGTCTTTGAAATAGCCATATCATATAGAGTATAACAGAATATATGCGTAGATAGTTGAGGTTAACAACAGTTGGTAATGTTTGTCCTGATTAACCCTTTCTCTCCCAGTGTTGCCTTATGGCAACATCAAGGAAACCATACAAAACGTAAAGGACCAAAATTTGGACGGGGTTAAGGATTTAGCACTATGGGCAGGTTACATGAGAACTGGATAGGCTAGCATGTGTATGGTAATGTTTTTCTCGGAACGTTACAAAATTTCTTTAAGAGAAAAAACGATGATTTGCAACTAATAGATTAAAAAAAGTAAACAAAGTTGAATTTTCGCGAAGAAAATACAACCAACTTTTTATTAGGCTTAAAAAGTCACTCTCCAGTCGACAGGCTATCCAGGCTTCATGCAGCCTTACTCTGGAAAACTAAAACATAAAACACGGTAACTCAAACAGTGCAAAAACTCACAACATGTAGCTACTTCCTGCTGAGCGTTGTTCATTAAAACTTTCCATTTGATACACTAAGTTTAAAATTGGATAGTTAACTCACCTGTGTTCCACAAGGTAAATCAACAGAATATCCCATTTGACACTTTGACATAGCATTTCTCAAAACGTCCTGTGCCAGGCCAAGATTTTCTGCTACATCCATGCGAACTCTTCGTAGCGGTTCTTGTAATAAAAACGCGTAAGAAACGGCAAGATTTGGGAAAATCGTCCGACCGTTCTCTTGCGAACAATCGCTTGTAGCAAAGGCGAAAATTTGAAAATTATTATCACTCGCAATTTCCAGCCAATTTATTCGTTCCTCAATCTGGTGAAGTTTTACAAACTCGAACTTACTCATGTACTGGAAAGATTTCTGTATTGTTTGTAAGAATGCATCCAAATTCGGTGGACCGTAGACATCGACAAGTTTATCGACCGAAAAGCCATCATTCTGCGTCGCTAGAAGCATGTTCGTCAGACCACCAATGTGATTGATTGTTGAGCCAGTCATGAACATCTTGTCAAGTCCCTTTGATGGTAATCCACCCATGCGAAAATTCCTTAATGTATTTTCACCCGCATGATGTATCTAAAAATAAATCACACTGAGTGACTGAGCAGTGGTTGACAGTAAGGGAGGTGAAGGGGAAGTCGCCCCTATGTTCCTTTTTTATGAAAAAGGTGATAGAAAACGTGTTCTTCTGCAAGAACCTTTAATTTTCGGGTTTGACGTAATTTTGGATTCAACCAAACATGAAATGATTACATTTGCTACAGTATACCACATATTTTGTTTATTTGCATCTTTTCATGATAGAGCAGATCAGAAGAATGGCTGGTAATTTAACATTTATTGAGATTTATTAATATTTAGTCATTTAGACTTGACTTATATCCCGAAATAAGCATTTAAGCCTTATTGTTCCAGTAAAAATTTAGATTATCATTTGACTCATTCTGGTTTTTTCCCCAAAATCCTCAATGACTGACTCACTGACTGACTTTGACTGAATTACAAACTGACTGACTGACTTACCAACTGACTGACTGACTTACCAACTGGCTGGACTGACTTACCAACTGACTGACAGTATCGTGATGCCCACAAGATAATAAAATTATTTATTTGGATAGAGAATATTTTGCCTGTATGTTTATGGGATACGACATTTCTTACAAAAACGGAGAGCAATTAATGTTTTTACTGGTCTCTTATTGTCATTCATTAAATGGAAAAAGGAACTTTAAGATTCATCATGAACTTATAAGAGTAAGTCAAAGGTTATGTTCTATCTGACCAAGGAATAAGAAAAAGCAACTAGTTATGTAATCCATACATGGATACTAGATGATAAGCAAGGATACCAAATTCCAAACCCAGTTATCTATGTAGATACTTGAAAAAATTTTATTTCAGAACCTGCTTGAGCCATATATCCAGTGGCGTATCTAGAGGTCACACTGGTCGGGCCGACCAAAAATTTCCCCCAAAAGAAAGAATTTGTTCGAATAAAAATTCAAAATAAATGAGTTTGAATTTCAAAATAGTTTTAATCAATTTATTGCGGATGTTGAGAGGATAATCTGAATCTTTAAATAACGATTTTGGTTTAATTAAACTCAAAATTTGCATTTAATGAGAGATTGGTAGCAACAGTGTGCCGTTCCATGCTCTTCCAGCTTAGTCGGGCTCTCAAAATTCAGCCCGACCATACAAAATATTTTATAGAAAATATTCCTAATCTAATGGCTAATGACTTCTAGCATGCTCCAAATTTGAAGCATCTAGTCACGCTCATTTTCTAGAGCCGACTTGAGCCTTCGACAGACCTTAAGTTTAGTGTGGGTGAAGTTAATGTAAAGTCATGGCCACTAAAATGATGATGAAGTTAAGATCTTAACCTGAGACAGTAATTTTTATTTTGAGTTGTTAGAAAGTTATATGTTGTTTGTTTGCACTTTAAAATTTGTTCATTAAACTTCAATAAAGTACTTATGTTTTACTATATGTATGATTGAAAATCGACATCATAGGTGGCTCTTCATGTAAACCAAAATTTTTCAAGATGGCCTGCATATATGCCACTCTTCTACAAAATGACCAACTTTTAAGGTTGCTCAATTCAAATACTTGCAAATGTCTTACACTTACCGATGATAGTTTGTAAATATATATATAAACCAGGAGAAGCATCAGACTGACCTGTGGACAACCTGGAGCCATACTGTATCAGAGGAAATTGTGATGTGGTGTGAATCTTGCAAGAGTTCCACAGAGAGATGAGTGTATTTTGAGGAGGACACACACAAATTCTTGGCTGTATACAATGTTTGCTAAACATTGTAATGCATTAATATTCTAAAAATTAATTCCTATTTATTAATGATTACCTGGGGGAAATGAGTTCATTCATTATATAGGTTAAGAATAAAGCTACCGGTAAAGTCACCATGCAATCCGTTAACAATTAAGTCCGTATGCTACGAATGAAGTCTGTCTATAAGTTAGAAGCTTCAAGAGAAAAGAGTTTGCCCTTCGAAATTTAAAAGTCAGTCATATTTTAAAGGCAACAATAAGTACCAGTACATATTTTCGTAAAAATATTTTAAATCTTACGTCAAAATGAAAAAAAACAAAAAATTAATCATACCTAAATGCCAGAGGCAAGAAATATAGAAAAAACATTTCATGATAAATTTTTTGGCCACAAGATGGTCAGGCCAAGAGCCGAGTTTCTTCAATTGCAATACTTCATGTTGGAATAGTATTGCGAATTACTGCCTCTATTATTAGAAATAGATGCGTACATCTGGGTAGCCTCTAGCCTGCCAAATATATGGTCACAAAACGTAGTAAGTATGAAAATTTTATTGATTGTTAAAAGGTGCTTAGTGCTAAATGCTGATTGAAATAACGCAAAAACTGTTAAAATCATTTCTAAATTAGTCAAACGCTTTGCTTAGACCTCATGTTACAGCCGAGTTTATATGCTCACATTGTAGAAGCAAAGTACCTGGAAAGTAACAATTCTCACAATATTTAACGAGAAGTTCATTATCAGTATCACTGAATGTTAAAGTAAAACTATGTTTTGCTATAAATACTACATCATCAATAACTTCTGTTTCAAAACTGTCCGAGGTCTGTTTATTTTGTCCCGGGCTGGCCGGTAAGCGAGGAATGAATTTTGATGTGTTTTATATGACGTTCATCTTGCTTGCCGAGAAGTTTTCGCAGTCAATATCAAAGCTTTTATAAAACATCTTTTACTTATAATCAGACAGATTATCAATACAATGCTCCATTATCTTTGTATCGCAGCGAAAGTTCTTTCTTTTAACCATTCTCGTGTCTATTTTGCTCACTTTTACACGTACACCATTTTAATATATTTATCACACGAAGCCCAAATAGTTAAAATTTAGTCCGGCAAACGGACTAGTTCGGCAGTTAAGTGTATACATTAGAAAAATTTCATCCCGGCAGACGAGATCTCCTGGCGCTGTATGTATTGAGATCTGCTAAAGAACCAGTCCATGTCCTTATAAACACAAAAGAATTTTAATATATTATATACTACATGGAGATCTTGCTTAACGGGCTATGTCGGTAAACGGGCGGCT